TACAAAAGAAAATACTATTATTAGTGTCATAAACAGTATCATACATGCATATACATATGTGCACATATATAGATATATATTAAAAGAAATTGGGCTAACAATTCTTAAAAGAAATTGGGTTGAATCCGATTGTACTCAAATGTTGTAGATCACATACCTGGTGCTCGGGGAATTTAGGCATTTCAGTCAATATATCCACTAAATTTGCACCTTTCCTACACAATGCAAAATATTCAACAACTCTTTGTTGTATCTCAACATCAATACAACTCTCATATCTGGAAAGAAAGAAGGGCAAGACAGTGTAAAAGAATTTCAAGGCATTTTGTGAGAAAGCATGAACCACAAGCTCCAAATAAATGAAAGGAAAAAATTACAATCCAGAAATGGTTAAAACTCACTTGTGAAAAATTGCCCAAATTTGATTCTGTAATTCTGGGTCTAGGGGTTAATTGTGCATTAAAATCTTAGCATATGTTGAAAGAAGAATGGAAATCGTAGAAGTCCTGATGATGCATAATGTCCATTAAGTTACTTAAATGATGAACAACAAATATTACCAAGAAAGCAGAAGTTCAAGTGCCCTTCCAAAACAGTAGGAAGCTTCTCATGTATGATGCTAAAAATCTCCTTTGGACTACACCCAGGCCGTCTGGCCAGAAGGTGACTGTATTCTCCAAGGATATAAGCACTGACCTGCTCCCAAAAAACCCAATGCCCAAATACAATTATGCCTTGCAATTGATTTGATCCAAAAAAAGTTCCTCGATAATTAATCTTGGGATGCGTAATTAAATTATGAAATGGTTTTTACTTATCCAAAATAAATAAATAAATAACTTGATTAATTAAATAAAAAATTATGAAATGGTTAGGAACTTGGTAATTAATCTATCAAAGAGAGGACACAATATTAAACATTAGAAGGTAGTTCAGAGCTGGCAAAATCCAAAATATGCCCATTCTGTAAAAAACAAAAATACCAGACTTTGTATAAGCCTAATACAAAAAGCCACAAATTCCAAGTCCAACAAAGTCCTTATTCTTCATGTCAACAACATGCAATATCAATAAAATGCATTTACTGCTAAACTAAAAGTGTGTACCACAACAATGTGGGGTTGTATCAGCACCAAAGGGTCAAACTAAACATTAGCTCTAATGTTTGAGTTATTAACACCTAAAATATATTCTTTTTCACATTTTATGAGAAAATGCAAATGAATCATGGGCAAAATATACACAGCTTTATGGGCAAAAATATACACACCTTGGCCATTGTCTCGTGTACAGTAGGCTTATCAAGATACTCCCTGGCTTTTACTGCTACATAAAGCTAATGAAATATAAAAAGTGTAAGGCAAATAGTGAATGAATGAATTTCATAAAAAGACAAGACAAATAATGAAACATATGTAAGAAAAGTTTTAGTCACCTGTAGGTCTTCATTGTTCGTAACAAATTGCACAACACGAAACCAAATGTCATCACTGACAAAATCGCCTGCTTTATCAATCAACTGAAGGATCACATCCACATACCTGCACAATGATTAGAAAAAAATGATAGCATAAGTAGCATATACAATAACAAAAGGATGTCCCTTCAATAATGTACATTATAAATAAATAAACATTTTGCAATATCTGATCAAATAAATACTCGGAAAGCTCAAGAAGAATTATTCGAATCAAATATTTTACAGCTGTATGATCAATAAAAAATTGGATATACAAAATTGTAGAGCAGCAGTTTTTTAAGTATTTAAATTTTGTGTTTCATTTATAACCAAGTAGTATGATATATAAATTATCAATAAGCTTGGTTGTGTAAACCTTACAGCCCTCATCCCAGGTTATTTGGATACTTGGAAAGATTCACGATTAATGGAACTAATGGAAGTATAAATTGATAGGATCCATCAGCATTATTTCTTTGCTACCAATAACATACAGATCAAAAGGAATAGCAGGACAACGAAATATCACAAACAAGTATTCGATTTTCGATAGCTTATTGACCTCATATGCAAGGCCAGGAATCAAACTATTCCATTGAACAAATATCCTTGCTTTTTTTAAAATCAGAACAATTCCACTGAATTCAAAAAAAAAAAAATTGGCTTTTTTACCTATTTCCAATAAACATTTTGTTAGCATTTGCATATGAACTATGGTTGTCTGCATAGAGCCTTCAACTTGTGCAATTCAGATCGGGATGGTCAAAAAAGACTCATTTAGCTGACTCATTTAGTTGACTTCTTTTCAATCTAAATCCTTGGTGTGTATTATGTTTACATGAGCATTCTCTGTAGGTTCTTCTAAAAGCAATACATCTTCTTCATTTGACCCAAACATGCTACAATATAACCTATTGAAAAGCAAAGAACATCAACTACACTTTCAACCATTGTGCACCCAGAAACATAGTGACTCATGTTCTTTCCATTAAGGGTCATAGTTCCTTAAGGCATCTACAAAACAACTATCCTCCAACAAACAATGGCAACCCCCAGAACATAACATATACACACAGAAATTGAACTGTTTCCACATTAAACTCAATTGCTGCATCAAATATATACACACAGAAATTAATCCACAAGTTCCAAAATAAGAAAATATGACACTTTAGAGTGAAGTATCAAACTTTCCACTTCTGAAAAAAAAATGCAGTAAATCAACACTATAATTTTTAAATTAAAAATTTTATTAATTTGTAAATCATGAATCCGATGGTCTCCAATCCCCTGATCTTCTTGGCAAACAAAGAAAGATTATGCAAACAAAGAAGAAACCAAGAAAGAGTACCAACTTGGAATTGTGGAGACAACTTCACCCATCTGAAGCCGATCTGCACAAAAAAATGAAATCGAGTTACTCAATTATCAAAATTGGAGAGAACCCAGTTGACAGAAATTCAAGATCAGAAAAGGGTAAGGGAAAAATCAAAGAATCATACAGAGAATTGTGGTTTTTCCAGCATTGTCATGACCAAGAACGAGTTTGTTACCAAAAAGCGAAGAGAACAATCAAGTAAACACAATCCCCATTTTCAATCTCCCTTATATGGAGAATCAAAAGGACCAATCAAATCTTTAAGATCCCCACAAGAAACCTCTGAATATTTTGAGAGAGAGAGAGAGAGAGAAAGCATACGCGAGACGGAGCATCAATGGAGCAGAGTTCATCTCAGCGATGAAGCCTCTGGATCTCGGGGCAGTGGATCTGTGAAGATCGGCGGAGGAGGAGGAGGCGGCGGCGTGAAAAGATCAGCGGTACTCACGATGGCGATGGCGATGGCGAAGGAGGAGAAGGTGCTCCGGTTTCCGTCGAAGGCGAAGAAGAGCGGCAGTGAGAGAGGGAGGGGAGAGGAGTAGCGGAGACGGGAAGGGAGAGGGAAAGGGACGCCGAAAATAGAGAGAGAGAGAGAGAGGCGCAAACCATTTTAGGGTTTGGTTTGGTACAAAATATATATCGATATATATATCATTTTATATAATTGACGACTAAAATACCAGTGGTCGCCAATTATATATATGTTACACCATTAGCGACTAAAAACTTTAGTCGCCAATCACTTTTAAAAATTCCTCAAATTTAAATTATAAATGTCTCCCTCCAATTTTTTATTTTTTGGCGACTAAACTACTTTTTGGTCGCTAAAAATATGTTTTGCTGACTAAACTTTTGGTCGCCAAAGATAGTTTTTTTTTTTTAATTTTACATTTGGTGACTAAATATTTTAGTAGCCAATACCCAATATACAGCGACTAAACTAATTTTTGGTCACTGAAAATATGTTTTGGCAACTAAACTTTTGGTCACCAAAAGATAAAAAATAAATTTTTAATTTTACATTCGGCGACTAAATATTTTAGTAGCCAAAACTCAATATACGGCGACTAAAATTTTTTTTTGTCGCCAATTCTAGTATTTTTAGCGACTAAATTATTTTTTAGTCGCCAATAATTAATATATCCCGACTAAAAAAATTTAGTAGCTAAATTTTATACTTTTGGCGACCAAAAAAAAGTTTTAATCGCCAATTCCAAAACTTTTGGCGACTAAATTTGTTTTAGTCACCAATTTTAGTCGCCAAAGATGTATTTTGTTGTAGTGTACATTGCAACATTTAAATTTTATTGAATTTTACTAAATATAATACATAATTAAATAGTAGATGGTCAAAATAGTCATTTCACATTCTAATCCCAACAGTAAATAGTTCAATGAAAATTGTCCCATACCACCCCCTAAGATAGTATAATTCCCCATATGGGTGATAAAGAGCGGACTAAAAAAAAACAAATATTGAATAACAAGCTTCTCCCGAATCACAATTCCAACAGTGGATAGTCTCCTCTTATCCCCCAATCAAACGCACCATTGGAAAACAAATATATATCTAACTTACTCTTAGGGTGTGTTTGTTTGAAATGACTGGATAAGGGAGGATTGTAATCTATTGAACTATTAGTCCTGAGATACGTTGTCTCCGGACTATTTGGTTAGACTGGATTTGTATCCTATATTTGTTTAGTCATGGGATTAGATGTACAGATTGGACTATTTTTTGTGAATCCAATATTTGGTTTGACGGACTGGATAAAGATAATTTATAAGGCCATAATTTTTAATTTATTATTTTCAATTAAATTAAATTTATAATTTATATTTTATTTAATATATAATTTTAAATTAACAACACTAAAAATATAATTTTATTTAATATATAAATTTAATTTTTTAACATCACTAAAAAAAATTAATTTATAAGGTCATAATTTATAATTTATTATTTTTAATTAAATTTCATTTATAATTTATATTTAATATATAATTTTAAATTAACAACACTAAAAAAGTAATTTTATTTAATATATAAATTTAATTTTTTAACAATACTAAAAAAATTATAAGGCCATTTTTTAATAGTAACAAAATGTAACATTTTTTAATTAAGGAGAATAAATTGATACGTGTCTAAAGAAAACAAAATGTTTAAAACTGCTGTCACTAATTCACACTGAAATTTCTACAATCAGTTTAAAAGAACTATTACATGATTTTTTTTCTTTCTTTTTTTTTATTAAAATTACCAAAAAAGAAAGAACCAGAACAAAAACAAAAACAAAAAAATCATTACACATATGTCTTCTCAAATTCAATTGCCAAATTAACCTATGCAACAAGTTCAACCCAAGTGAACCCAAAGAGACCCCAAAACCCAACTGTATCTCTCTATTTTCTTCTTCTTCATCAATCAATCAATCATCATCATCATTCCTCAACAACACGTTGTTCACCATTGTTGAACTCAATCCACCTTCTTTGCTTGCAATACTTCATCAAGAAATACCACCCAATTCCAGCCACAGTCATCAACCCACTGACCAAGTACACAATCTTGGTCGCAATCGCCATTATAAACACCAAAAATCCAGATGGAATCAAGCACATTATAATCAGTCCCGGCAGCTTCATCGGCACCCGATACGGGCGCTTCATCGCCGGAAACTTTCTCCTCAGCCAAACAAACGAAGCAAACTCCAACAACATCCCCAAACTATACAAGAAATTGGCCGAAGATATAATATCTGTAAAAGTCATATGCGAAACAGCAAGAGTAATCACAGTTGATAAAAGAATCCCAACCCATGGAGTATTGAACCATTTCGATCTCAGCCCGAAAACCTTGGGCAAGAAAGCTAATTCTGCCATACCCAGAACTTGATAAGCACTGCTGCTTAACTGTGCTTCGAATAATCCTATTGTTGATAAAACAGCACCCACTTCAATCCAGAATTTCAACCATTTTCCAGAGATGATTTCAGCTGCATCAGCCATAAACCCTGTGTCCCATTGATTCTGATCGACCGATACAGAGCCAGTGACTGCCAAAAGCGGGATTATATAAGCCAAACAAGTGAATATCACTGCAGAAAACAAACCCAATGGAAAATTCTTTTGGGGTTTATCCACTTCACCGGCAAGAGTACTAACATTGTCCCAAAAATTCAAATTCCAAAAGAGGGTATTGAAAAACAAGTTCCAGTCTTTTTTTACACCCTTTTGGCCTAAACTGAGCCATCTGTGAGGATGAATTTTGGGTATTGCAATCAAAGACATGAGGATGAAGGGAAGGAGAGAGACGACGCCGAGGATGACGGCGGCGTAGCCTACGATGGTGAGGCCAGTGTAATTGAGAAAGGAGAGGAGGAGAGTAGAGATGAAGATGGCCAGGTAGCGAGGGAGGCCGGAGGAGAAGATGGGGAAGATGAGCTGCAGGTAGTCGATGCAGAGGGCGGGGAAGGCGGCGACATTGATGATGCCGCTAAGGAGCTTCCAGGTTCCCATCAGGGAACCAAAGAAGGGGCCGAAGGCGGCGTCGGCCCAGATCACAAACCCGCCGTTGCCGGGGAAAGCGGTGCAGAGCTCCGCGGTGATGAGAGCTTCGGGGATGCTCCAGATGAAGGGGAATATCAGGAAGCCTAGGATGGCCAAAAGAGGTCCGCCGGCTTTCACCGCCGGCTCTTCGCCGTATGGGCCTCCGGCTACTTCAAAGTATATCAGGAAGATGAGTGGGATGAGAGTTAGTTTCTTGGTGGTGGTGGTGGTGGTGGTGGCGGCGGTGGCGGTGGTTATGGGGAGTTCTTGGGACATGTTTTGGGTGGTTAGAGGAGTTGTTGCTGTGTTTTGTGATGGTAGTGGTGGAAATGGTGGAGGAAGGGGTGGTCCTCTTCCTTTGTGAGATTGGATCTCCATTTGCATGATTGGAAGAGTTGGGGGGGGTGTGGTTGAGAGATAAATAGAGAGAGAGAGTGTGGAAATAAATGAGAATCTATTTTGTAATCTTCAAGTTGAAAAATTATGATGGGAGGCTGGTCCAAGTCAATCAAACCCAGTGGCCCGAAAACATTTTTTTTTTTTGCTTTGTAAGTTTGAAAGTGTAATGTGAGTGCTTGAAAACAGTGTTAGTTAAAATAGTTTATTAAAAAATAAAATAAATTAAAATAATTAATAAGATAAAATATTATATCTAATTCATAATTTTTTTTCTCATAATTATTAAATTAATTTTAAAAAAAGTATATATTAAAAAATTAACAAGTATTCTAAAATTATTAATTTTAACATTTAATTTAAATAAAATGATCAAATTAAAATTAAATTTAAAATGTAATGATTAAATTATTTGAATTTAAATGTAAACAAAAATAAAATTGAAGTCTAATTTATATATTAACCCAATATATATATACACTCTTCAACAATTGAAAGTCCAAATTGGCTGCCGACTAAAACATTTGAATTCCCCAAATCTTGGTATCCATTTGTCAAAAACAAAAAGATGCCCTTTTTATTCTCTTATTTGCTTACACATACATACAGAGCAAGGATCCTCTAGAGTGATTTTTTTCTAAAGTTTCTTAGAGTGCTACATTGTGTGGTTGAGATTTACTGACAAGTCACATCAATTTTTCTGATGTGACTTGTCAGTAAATCTCAACCACACAATGTAGCACTCTAAGAAACTTTAGAAAAAAATCACTCTAGAGGATCCTTGCTCTGTATGTATGTGTAAGCAAATAAGAGAATAAAAAGGGCATCTTTTTGTTTTTGACAAATGGATACCAAGATTTGGGGAATTCAAATGTTTTAGTCGGCAGCCAATTTGGACTTTCAATTGTTGAAGAGTGTATATATATATTGGGTTAATATTTAAATTAGACTTCAATTTTATTTTTGTTTACATTTAAATTCAAATAATTTAATCATTACATTTTAAATTTAATTTTAATTTGATCATTTTATTTAAATTAAATGTTAAAATTAATAATTTTAGAATACTTGTTAATTTTTTAATATATACAAATAGACAAAATTAATAAAAATTTAGTCGAAATGATCAAATTAAAATTAGACTTAAAGTATACATATCAATTCGTTTAAATTAAAATTATAAGAACTCTAATGAAATTTTGATCAAATTATAATAGTGAAACATATAATTAATCCATATATATATGGTGTTGTTTGGCAATTGGATTGGATTGGATTGACTTGTTAACTAAAATTAATTTTTTAACTAGATTAGACATAAAAAGATAAAATAAATTAAAATATCAATAAAACAAAAGGCTATTTTGAAAAAATGGTTAAAAGTTATTTTTAGTTTTTAACTTATTTTGAGTCACATTTATTTCTCTATTGTTTTACACGTTTTTTTTTTTAAAAAGTCAAAAAATTAGTTTTTACCTATCTTTTTAAAATAATCTAAAATGTCATATTCAAATCATAATCATTTTATTTTTTCTTTCATAAAAGTCAAAAAAATTAAAAAATTAACTCAAATAAACTTTTTAGCCTAATCTATAAAAAGTCAAAAATCAACCCAACTTCCTAAATGAAGCCAGAGTTTATAAATTGATGTTGATGCTGATTTGTTTTTATTATTCAATTTTAATACTAATTTTTTGTTAAATTAATATAATCAGAGATTCAAAGCTTCTCTCCAATCTGCTTGTGCTATGCTCAAATACGTTTTTAGTGCACGTCCTATCATTTTGTAAAAAAAAATTATAAATTTATTTTCTACTTTATTTCGCTTTCTATGTACAAAACCTATTATGTGGCGTTTTGAAAAATTGAGAAATTGGTAAAAAATTAATTTTTTAATTTTTTTAGTTTATTTTTTCTTTTTATGAATAAAAAATTTGAGAAATGATGTGACTCAAAATGGATAAAAAGTTAAACACTTAAATGAAATTTTTTTTTTTTTTTTTTTTTTTTTTTAAATGCTTTTCAAAAGACCCCTATAAAAAATAAATAAATAAATGAAATTTAACATCTCCAATCTACTTATGCTACGCTCAAATATATTTTTAATGCACGTGCTATCAATTTGTAAAAAATGAAATTATAAAATTATTCGATCCAAGTTCTAACCATTGGAAGGATGGATTCAAAAAAATTTTAAAAATCTGATGATGATGTAGTTGTCATAATCCAATGTTACAATGAAAAAACAAAAGCATTCACAATTGGTAAAAAGAACCTGACCTTTACAACAAATGACATGACCTTGATTTTTTGTTTAGAATGAGGTAAAGGGGCCATGTCATTAAGATACTCTAAAAAGCCAAAATATGCATTCCGAAGGAGAAAATTTCAAAAGGACACAAGGCTCACTGGTCCTGTTCTTAAAAATGTCTTGGTCAAAGTAATGAAAGGCAAGCAACCAACTGACTTCAAAGATGTAGCAATCATTGTTACATTGTACTTGGATCTCACCCTATTTTTTGCAACAAATGGGAATTCAATAGGGTAGGTTTTTATAAAGTATGTGGAACCTCTTGAATCAATGAAACAGTATGATTGGCCAGAAGCAATCACATCAACATTGATTGATTCTATCATAGCATTGCACAAAACTCCAGAAAAAGTTACGGGGTGTGTTATTGCATTGCTGGTAAGTATAATATCCATTCAAATCTACAGTTATCATACTTACAAATTTGTGTGTTTAGAAAATTTTAGTTACTTTAATTTTTATCACAGTATTGGCTATGTGAACATGCAAATATCATTGACTCGGAACATAGTAACACAACCGACTTCCCAAGATGTGCCAAGTGGAACCTGCAAACCTTGACGAAACAGTTGCAGAAGACACCAGTCCACTCTCTTGTACCTCGACAGGTTAGATTTCTATCGCTACTGAAATCTCAGTGAAATTCCAAAATTTCTCTGACCACTACTTTGTTTCCCTCCTTGTGCATTGATTGATTAAGATCAATTTTCTCTGAACTATCAATTTATGTTTTCTTCTTTGCTTACCACTGGTCTACTTCTGCCATTGTAATCAATTTTCTCTGCCATCCAAATTTCTCTGACCACAATTGTAACACATTAACTTATATGCCCTGATTGATTTTCTCTAATATCTTAATTATGTTGGTTGGTTCATAATTTTCTCTGGCCCATAAAATTGTTTCCTCCTTGCTTGTAATTTTCTCTGGCCCATAACTTATGTGTCTTGTATCTTTGATAAACATTGTTTATTTCTACCTTCTAATGAATTTTCTCTGAATCCAAATTTCTCTGACACATTATAGGTCAAACATTAACTTATATGCCTTGATTGATTTTCTGATATCTAAATTATGTTGCTTGTTTCATAATTTTCTCTTGCCTCATAAAATTAACTCATTGTCTGTATTTTCTCTGCCTCTACATTTTCTCTAAAGTTTGTTTCCATTAGTATCATTTAGATGAATTTTATTTTCCTTATTTGATTTTTTCTCTCAGATAATTATGTAACATTTCTTAATAAAATAAAATAGATAACAAGGAGCTAGTCAAAAACCCATCAAGGAGTTCTGTCTTGGTAAAAAAGCGAAGAAAGAATAAAAAAGCAATTTCAAATTCAAGGAGATATAAACAAGATTCATCTAATATCAAGCAATTGTCAAATTCAATGAAGAAGCAGAAGGCAACATAGAAGAATACGAAGCCAACAATGGACAAGAGATCAAGCAAGCAGTGGAAAGAGAACCAGAGAAGAAAGTGAAAAAAATAGAAGCAGAAGACAAAGAACAAAAATGAACAAAGAAGAAGACAGTGAAAAAGAAGATGAACAGCAAGAAGAAACACACGGAGGAAAGTGGACGAAGAAGAACGTAATAAAGCTGATGGACCAACAATGTGATGCATTTGCGGCTCAACAATGCATCAGCCTCAGAATTGGAGGAATCACAGGATGCCACCAAATTGCTGTCTACGTCAAAGACTAAAGGCGACTTTCTCAATCTAAAAAGAAGAAGAAAGAAAATTTGATTGAATTTACTTGCTGAAAAGATAGGCAGATAAAGAACTTCAACGATCACTTAACTCAGAACTTCAAGAGAAGAGACAGCACAAGTCCAAATGAAAACTAAGGATTTTGCGAGGTTAAAAAGAGATGACACAAAAAACAATTCAACAAGTTGAGTATTCAATTTTGAGCTTGAAAAAGCTGAAATATCTAAATTGCATAAACCAAAGTTTCAAAGAACATGCCGTCCAACTAGCAACACATCCATACCGAACACAAACACAACTTCAACCACAGGTCAGTGAAAATCTTGAGCCACAAAAAGTTATGTCCTTGTGACACATAACTCAAAGAATTTCTATTTATTATAATTTTCTATGTTATTGGTAATTTTCTCTAGAAGTTATATTTCTCTGAACACATTAATTTCTGGTCGCTTATTTTTTATTGATTTCTACTGCTCATTTGATTTTCTCTGTCTATTTCTTATTCGATTTTTGGGGCTTGTTTGATTTCCACTATGTATAGTTGGAATGCAAGTAGACCAACAACTAACAACCCAACAAGAACAAATGGCACACAAAGAACAACCGAAACAAAAGACAAAAGTCTATGGTAATTGGAAAATATTGAATCAAATAAATTTACATATTGAAATATCATCTGTTACTTCAGAGAATTTCACTTTTACTAATGTTTTCACTGTCTACAGTCAAAAAAGATCCGACATCAATGATAAAAAATTTAAAGCAAAAGAAAGGAAGGAAAAGCAGCACGATCCAGAATTTCAATATCCAAAGTTGCGAAAGTAACTAAAGTTTTCAAAACAAACTGCAAGCAAACTGAATAAACCACGATGGACAAAAAAGTACTTGATGCTGATGCGTACGTCTTGCCTCCACCTACAAACATCAGAAAATCTTGGGTCTTTCCACAAACTCTACCGATTTCAAGATTGATAAAAGATCATGTAAAAGACATCTTGCAGCACATATCAAATGTGTCTAGACTTGAGTAAGTACAACAAACAAAAGAGAAGATAACAAACAATAAATTACGAACT